CATACACCATGGTAATACAACACACACCATGGTAATACAACACACACCATGGTAATACAACATACACCATGGTAATACAACACACACCATGGTAATACAACACACATACCATGGTAATACAACATACACCATGGTAATACAACACACGTACCATGGTAATACAACATACACCATGGTAATACAACACACGTACCATGGTAATACAACATACACCATGGTAATACAACACACGTACCATGGTAATACAACACACGTACCATGGTAATACAACACACACCATGGTAATACAACACACACCATGGTAATACAACACACACCATGGTGATACAACATACACCATGGTAATACAACATACACCATGGTAATACAACACACACCATGGTAATACAACACACACCATGGTAATACAACATACACCATGGTAATACAACACACACCATGGTAATACAACACACACCATGGTAATACAACACACACCATGGTGATACAACATACACCATGGTAATACAACATACACCATGGTAATACAACACACACCATGGTAATACAACACACACCATGGTAATACAACATACACCATGGTAATACAACATACACCATGGTAATACAACATACACCATGGTAATACAATATACACCATGGTAATACAACATACACCATGGTAATACAACATACACCATGGTAATACAACACACGTACCATGGTAATACAACATACACCATGGTAATACAACATACACCATGGTAATACAATATACACCATGGTAATACAACACACACCATGGTAATACAACACACACCATGGTAATACAACACACACCATGGTAATACAACACACACCATGGTAATACAACACACATACCATGGTAATACAACATACACCATGGTAATACAACATACACCATGGTAATACAACACACACCATGGTAATACAACACACACCATGGTAATACAACACACACCATGGTAATACAACACACACCATGGTAATACAACACACATACCATCAATACAACACACATACCATGGTAATACAACATACACCATGGTAATACAACACACCATGGTAATACAACATACACCATGGTAATACAACACACACCATGGTAATACCACACACATACCATGGTAATACAACATACACCATGGTAATACAACACACACCATGGTAATACAACATACACCATGGTAATACAACACACACCATGGTAATACAACATACACCATGGTAATACAACACACACCATGGTAATACAACATACACCATAGTAATACAACACACACCATGGTAATACAACACACACCATGGTAATACAACATACACCATGGTAATACAACATACACCATGGTAATACAACACACACCATGGTAATACAACACACACCATGGTAATACAACATACACCATGGTAATACAACACACACCATAGTAATACAACATACACCATGGTAATACAACACACACCATGGTAATACAACACACACCATGGTAATACAACACACACCATGGTAATACAACATACACCATGGTAATACAACACACGTACCACGGTAATACAACATACACCATGGTAATACAACACACACCATGGTAATACAACACACGTACCATGGTAATACAACATACACCATGGTAATACAACATACACCATGGTAATACAACATACACCATGGTAATACAACACACACCATGGTAATACAACATACACCATGGTAATACAACACACACCATGGTAATACAACATACACCATAGTAATACAACACACACCATAGTAATACAACATACACCATGGTAATACAACACACACCATGGTAATACAACACACACCATGGTAATACAACACACACCATGGTGATACAACACACGTACCATGGTAATACAACACACACCATGGTAATACAACATACACCATGGTAATACAACACACGTACCATGGTAATACAACACACACCATGGTAATACAACACACACCATGGTAATACAACACACACCATGGTAATACAACACACACCATAGTAATACAACATACACCATGGTAATACAACACACACCATGGTAATACAACATACACCATGGTAATACAACATACACCATGGTAATACAACATACACCATGGTAATACAACACACACCATGGTAATACAACACACGTACCATGGTAATACAACACACACCATGGTAATACAACACACGTACCATGGCAATACAACATACACCATAGTAATACAACACACGTACCATGGTAATACAACACACGTACCATGGCAATACAACATACACCATAGTAATACAACACACGTACCATGGTAATACAACACACACCATGGTAATACAACACACACCATGGTAATACAACACACGTACCATGGTAATACAACATACACCATGGTAATACAACATACACCATGGTAATACAACACACACCATGGTAATACAACATACACCATGGTAATACAACACACGTACCATGGTAATACAACACACACCATGGTAATACAACATACACCATGGTAATACAACACACGTACCATGGTAATACAACATACACCATGGTAATACAACATACACCATAGTAATACAACACACACCATGGTAATACAACATACACCATGGTAATACAACATACACCATGGTAATACAACATACACCATGGTAATACAACACACACCATGGTAATACAACATACACCATGGTAATACAACATACACCATAGTAATACAACACACGTACCATGGTAATACAACACACACCATGGTAATACAACATACACCATGGTAATACAACATACACCATGGTAATACAACACACACCATAGTAATACAACACACGTACCATGGTAATACAACACACGTACCATGGTAATACAACATACACCATGGTAATACAACACACGTACCATGGTAATACAACATACACCATGGTAATACAACACACGTACCATGGTAATACAACACACACCATGGTAATACAACATACACCATGGTAATACAACACACACCATGGTAATACAACACACGTACCATGGTAATACAACATACACCATGGTAATACAACACACGTACCATGGTAATACAACACACACCATGGTAATACAACATACACCATGGTAATACAACACACACCATGGTAATACAACACACGTACCATGGTAATACAACATACACCATGGTAATACAACACACGTACCATGGTAATACAACACACGTACCATGGTAATACAACATACACCATGGTAATACAACACACGTACCATGGTAATACAACACACGTACCATGGTAATACAACATACACCATGGTAATACAACACACGTACCATGGTAATACAACATACACCATGGTAATACAACACACGTACCATGGTAATACAACACACACCATGGTAATACAACATACACCATGGTAATACAACACACACCATGGTAATACAACACACGTACCATGGTAATACAACATACACCATGGTAATACAACACACGTACCATGGTAATACAACACACACCATGGTAATACAACATACACCATGGTAATACAACACACACCATGGTAATACAACACACGTACCATGGTAATACAACATACACCATGGTAATACAACACACGTACCATGGTAATACAACACACGTACCATGGTAATACAACATACACCATGGTAATACAACACACGTACCATGGTAATACAACACACGTACCATGGTAATACAACATACACCATGGTAATACAACACACGTACCATGGTAATACAACACACACCATGGTAATACAACATACACCATGGTAATACAACACACACCATGGTAATACAACACACGTACCATGGTAATACAACATACACCATGGTAATACAACACACGTACCATGGTAATACAACACACGTACCATGGTAATACAACACACACCATGGTAATACAACACACACCATGGTAATACAACATACACCATGGTAATACAATATACACCATGGTAATACAACATACACCATGGTGATACAACATACACCATGGTAATACAACATACACCATGGTAATACAACATACACCATGGTAATACAACATACACCATGGTGATACAACACACACCATGGTAATACAACATACACCATGGTAATACAACATACACCATGGTGATACAACATACACCATGGTAATACAACATACACCATGGTAATACAACATACACCATGGTAATACAACACACACCATGGTAATACAACATACACCATGGTAATACAACATACACCATGGTGATACAACATACACCATGGTAATACAACATACACCATGGTAATACAACATACACCATGGTAATACAACACACACCATGGTAATACAACACACACCATGGTAATACAACATACACCATGGTAATACAACACACACCATGGTAATACAACATACACCATGGTAATACAACACACACCATGGTAATACAACACACACCATGGTAATACAACACACACCATGGTAATACAACATACACCATGGTAATACAACACACACCATGGTAATACAACATACACCATAGTAATACAACACACACCATGGTAATACAACATACACCATGGTAATACAACACACACCATGGTAATACAACACACACCATGGTAATACAACACACACCATGGTAATACAACACACACCATGGTAATACAACATACACCATGGTAATACAACATACACCATGGTAATACAACACACACCATGGTAATACAACACACACCATGGTAATACAACACACACCATGGTAATACAACATACACCATGGTAATACAACACACACCATGGTAATACAACATACACCATGGTAATACAACACACACCATGGTAATACAACATACACCATAGTAATACAACACACACCATGGTAATACAACATACACCATAGTAATACAACATACACATGTGTTGTGGAGAACATGTGACCACTGTTGAACATCTGCAACAAACGTGATGTTCAAGAATTTCAATTAAATTTATATATTATCTCTTTTTGTAAAATACTTTCACCACATTTTATTCTCTCGTGGCCACACCTGAGGCTCTGTAGGTCCTACTTCCTCTTGTGGCCACACCTGAGGCACTGTAGGTCCTACTTCCTCTTGTGGCCACACCTGAGGCTCTGTAGGTCCTACTTCCTCTTGTGGCCACACCTGAGGCACTGTAGGTCCTACTTCCTCTTGTGGCCACACCTGAGGCTCTGTAGGTCCTACTTCCTCTTGTGGCCACACCTGAGGCACTGTAGGTCCTACTTCCTCTTGTGGCCACACCTGAGGCTCTGTAGGTCCTACTTCCTCTTGTGGCCACACCTGAGGCTCTGTGGGTCCTACTTTCTCTTGTGGCCACACCTGAGGCTCTGTGGGTCCCACTTTCTCCTCTTGTGGCCACACCTGAGGCACTGTAGGTCCTACTTTCTCTTGTGGCCACACCTGAGGCACTGTAGGTCCTACTTCCTCTTGTGGCCACACCTGAGGCACTGTAGGTCCTACTTCCTCTTGTGGCCACACCTGAGGCTCTGTAGGTCCTACTGCCTCTTGTGGCCACACCTGAGGCTCTGTGGGTCCTACTTCCTCTTGTGGCCACACCTGAGGCTCTGTAGGTCCTACTTCCTCTTGTGGCCACACCTGAGGCACTGTAGGTCCTACTTCCTCTTGTGGCCACACCTGAGGCTCTGTAGGTCCTACTTCCTCTTGTGGCCACACCTGAGGCACTGTAGGTCCTACTTCCTCTTGTGGCCACACCTGAGGCACTGTAGGTCCTACTTCCTCTTGTGGCCACACCTGAGGCTCTGTAGGTCCTACTTCCTCTTGTGGCCACACCTGAGGCACTGTAGGTCCTACTTGCTCTTGTGGCCACACCTGAGGCACTGTAGGTCCTACTTCCTCTTGTGGCCACACCTGAGGCTCTGTAGGTCCTACTTCCTCTTGTGGCCACACCTGAGGCTCTGTGGGTCCTACTTCCTCTTGTGGCCACACCTGAGGCTCTGTGGGTCCTACTTCCTCTTGTGGCCACACCTGAGGCTCTGTAGGTCCTACTTCCTCTTGTGGCCACACCTGAGGCTCTGTAGGTCCTACTTCCTCTTGTGGCCACACCTGAGGCACTGTAGGTCCTACTTCCTCTTGTGGCCACACCTGAGGCTCTGTAGGTCCTACTTCCTCTTGTGGCCACACCTGAGGCACTGTAGGTCCTACTTCCTCTTGTGGCCACACCTGAGGCTCTGTAGGTCCTACTTCCTCTTGTGGCCACACCTGAGGCTCTGTGGGTCCTACTTCCTCTTGTGGCCACACCTGAGGCTCTGTGGGTCCTACTTCCTCTTGTGGCCACACCTGAGGCTCTGTAGGTCCTACTTCCTCTTGTGGCCACACCTGAGGCTCTGTAGGTCCTACTTCCTCTTGTGGCCACACCTGAGGCACTGTAGGTCCTACTTCCTCTTGTGGCCACACCTGAGGCTCTGTAGGTCCTACTTCCTCTTGTGGCCACACCTGAGGCTCTGTGGGTCCTACTTCCTCTTGTGGCCACACCTGAGGCTCTGTGGGTCCTACTTCCTCTTGTGGCCACACCTGAGGCTCTGTAGGTCCTACTTCCTCTTGTGGCCACACCTGAGGCTCTGTGGGTCCTACTTCCTCTTGTGGCCACACCTGAGGCTCTGTGGGTCCCACTTTCTCCTCTTGTGGCCACACCTGTTGCTCTGTAGATCCTATTTTCTCTTGTGGCCACACCTGAGGCTCTGTAGGTCCTACTTCCTCTTGTGGCCACACCTGAGGCTCTGTGGGTCCTACTTCCTCTTGTGGCCACACCTGAGGCTCTGTGGGTCCCACTTTCTCCTCTTGTGGCCACACCTGTTGCTCTGTAGATCCTATTTTCTCTTGTGGCCACACCTGTTGCTCTGTAGGTCTCACTTTCTCTTGTGGCCACACCTGTTGCCCTGTAGATCCTACTTTCTCTTGTGGCCACACCTGTTGCTCTGTAGGTCTCACTTTCTCTTGTGGCCACACCTGAGGCTCTGTGGGTCCTACTTCCTCTTGTGGCCACACCTGAGGCTCTGTGGGTCCTACTTCCTCTTGTGGCCACACCTGAGGCTCTGTGGGTCCCACTTTCTCCTCTTGTGGCCACACCTGTTGCTCTGTAGGTCCTACTTTCTCCTCTTGTGGCCACACCTGTTGCTCTGTAGGTCCTACTTTCTCTTGTGGCCACACCTGTTGCTCTGTAGGTCCCACTTTCTCTTGTGGCCACACCTGTTGCTCTGTAGGTCTCACTTTCTCTTGTGGCCACACCTGTTGCTCTGTAGATCCTACTTTCTCTTGTGGCCACACCTGTTGCTCTGTAGGTCCCACTTCCTCTTGTGGCCACACCTGTTGCTCTGTAGGTCCCACTTCCTCTTGTGGCCACACCTGTTGCTCTGTAGGTCCCACTTCCTCTTGTGGCCACACACCTGGTAACGAGGTCACTGTCACTAACCAGTGAGTGACCTCCTGGTTAGTGACAATGAGTGACCTGCCTGGCACTCTGCCAGGGTGAGTGCCTCGTGATACACCAGGCTATGAGTGCCGGCACTTGAACCACTCATGCCTGGCCACCATTATCTATAGTGCCAGCCGCTGGCCTGGCACTCTCTCCGTTACTCACCGCAGAGTGCCAATATTAACAAGTGGCTCCCAGCAAACAGTGCCTAATAACTTTCGTCATTTTCGCACAGGTGATGAGACCTGGGGCGTGAGGTGGGTGTAATTACACTTAGGTTATCTTGAGGTTATCTTGAGAGGATTTCGGGGCTTTCAGTGTCCCCGCGGCCCGGTCCTGGACCAGGCCTCCACCCCCAAGGAAGCAGCCCGCGACAGCTGACTAACACCCAGGTACCTATTTTACTGCTAGGTAACAGGGGCATAGGGTGAAAGAAACTCTGCCCATTGTTTCTCGCCGGCGCCTGGGATCGAACCCAGGACCACAGGATCACAAGTCCAGCGTGCTGTCCGCTCGGCCGACCGGCTCCCAGGTAATTAGGTTTAGGTAATTAGGTAATTAGGTTTAGCGAAGATAAGTTCCAGCTCATACGCTACGGAAAAAATGAAAATATAAAAACGGAAACCACGTACAAAACTCAGGCAAATCATAACATAGAACGAAAAGGCAATGTAAAGGATCTGGGTGTACTCATGTCGGAAGACCTTACCTTTAAAGAACACAATAAAGTAGCCGTCACAACTGCAAGAACAATGACAGGTTGGATAACAAGAACTTTTCACACTAGAGATGCTATACCGATGATGATACTCTTCAAGACGCTAGTGCTCTCTAGAGTGGAGTACTGCTGCACAATGACAGCACCTTTCAAAGCTGGAGAAATTGCTGACCTGGAGAGCGTGCAGAGATCCTTTACTGCTAGAATCCACTCAGTAAAACACCTAAACTATTGGGACCGACTAAAGAGCCTAAATCTGTACTCCCTTGAGCGCAGGCGGGAGAGATACATAATAATTTACACGTGGAAAATATTAGAGGGGCTGGTCCCAAACCTGCACACAACATACTGGAGTGAACGATATGGAAGAAAATGCAGAATAGAACCAGTGAAGAGCAGAGGTGCCATAGGCACAATCAGAGAACACTGTATAAACATCAGAGGTCCGCGGTTGTTCAACGTCCTCCCAGCGACTATAAGAAATATTGCCGGAACAACCGTGGACATCTTCAAGAGGAAACTAGATAGTTTTCTTAAAGGAGTGCCGGACCAACCGGGCTGTAGTGGGTATGTGAGCCTGCGGGCCGCTCCAACCAACAGCCTGGTGGACCAAACTCTCACAAGTCAAGCCTGGCCACGGGCCGGGCTTGGGGAGTAGAAGAACTCCCAGAACCCCATCAACCAGGTATCAAGCAACAGCCTGGTGGACCAAACTCTCACAAGTCAAGCCTGGCCTCGGGCCGGGCTTGGAGAGTAGAACAACTCCCAGAACCCCATCAACCAGGTATCAACCAACAGCCTGGTGGACCAAACTCTCACAAGTCAAGCCTGGCCTCGGGCCGGGCTTGGGGAGTAGAAGAACTCCCAGAACCCCATCAACCAGGTATCAACCAACAGCCTGGTGGACCAAACTCTCACAAGTCAAGCCTGGCCTCGGGCCGGGCTTGGGGAGTAGAACAACTCCCAGAACCCCATCAACCAGGTATCAACCAACAGCCTGGTGGACCAAACTCTCACAAGTCAAGCCTGGCCTCGGGCCGGGCTTGGGGAGTAGAACAACTCCCAGAACCCCATCAACCAGGTATCAACCAACAGCCTGGTGGACCAAACTCTCACAAGTCAAGCCTGGCCTCGGGCCGGGCTTGGGGAGTAGAACAACTCCCAGAACCCCATCAACCAGGTAGTTAACCAGGTCTGGGTTAATATAAAGCTCAGGAATGTAAGTTTAATAGAACTTCGGTTTCAACTCTCTTGACCATGACGTAGCTCAGTGGATTAAGGCAGTGTCTGGGATGCTCCCGGACGCAGGTTCGAATCCTCGTCACGGCCCTTGTGGATGTGTTCATTTGATGCATCACGCCGTCCACAGGACGGACATGGGGTCCACTACCACCCACAGGATGGACATGGGGTCCACCACCACCCACAGGACGGACATGGGGTCCACTACCACCCACAGGATGGACATGGGGTCCACCACCACCCACAGGACGGACATGGGGTCCACTACCACCCACAGGATGGACATGGGGTCCACCACCACCCACAGGACGGACATGGGGTCCACTACCACCCACAGGATGGACATGGGGTCCACCACCACCCACAGGACGGACATGGGGTCCACCACCACCCACAGGAGGAGCATGGGGGTCCACCACCACCCACAGGATGGACATGGGGTCCACCACCACCCACAGGATGGACATGGGGGGTGCCAAATATATGAGCAAAAAGAACAAGGCCGGTTGACGTGGTTGACCTAGTTGGTGGGCAGACTGGAGGGCGGTTGGCGGTCGGCCTCTGAAGCATTTGGCGCCAAAAGCCACACCCTTCCCGCCTGTGGCCAGCCCTACTGGCCATCACCACACACACACACACACACACACACACACACACACACACACACACACACACACACACACATGTCAATGTTTGTCAATGTCAATGTTTGCGGATGACGCAAAATTAATGAGAAGAGTTGTGACAGACGAGGATTGTAGGATCCTCCTAGAGGACTTAAACAGGTTGCAGAGATGGTCAGGGAAATGGCTACTGGAGTTTAACACCAGTAAATGTAAAGTTATGGAAATGGGATCAGGTGACAGGAGACCAAGGGACAGTACACAATGAAGGGAACAGCCTACCTGTAACGATTCGAGAAAGAGACCTGGGAGTGGATGTGACACCTAATCTAACTCCTGAGGCACATATGAATAGGATAACGACAGCAGCGTACTCTACACTGGCGAAAATTAGAACTTCATTCAGAAACCTAAATGAGGAGGCTTTTAGGGCGCTTTACACTGCCTACGTGAGACCAGTCTTAGAGTATGCCGCGCCATCATGGAGCCCCCACCTGAAGAAACACATAAAGAAACTGGAGAAGGTTCAGAGGTTTGCGACGAGGCTTGTCCCAGAGTTACGAGGGATGGGATATGAAGAGCGTCTGAAGGAACTGAACCTTACGACACTAGAGAAAAGAAGGGAGAGAGGAGATATGATAGGGACATATAAAATACTCAGGGGAATTGACAAAGTGGAAATAGATGAAATGTTCACACGTAATAATAACAGAACGAGGGGACATGGATGAAAACTGGAAACTCAGATGAGTCACAGAGATGTTAGGAAGTTTTCTTTTAGCGTGAGAGTAGTAGAAAAATGGAATGCACTTGAGGAACAGGTTGTGGAAGCAAATACTATTCATACTTTTAAAACTAGATATGATAGGGAAATGGGACAGGAGTCATTGCTGTAAACAACCGATAGCTAGAAAGGCGGGATCCAAGAGCCAATGCTCGATCCTGCAAGCACAAACAGGTGAGTACAAATAGGTGAGTACACACACACACACACACACACACACACACACACAGTGGAGGTCGTCGAGGCTGACCAAGGTCGTTGAGAGATAAGACATGAGCAGCTCCCTAAAACTGCCCCCAAACACATCTTCAAGTTTATAATCTTTAACAAGAGAGGTTGATAAGCATCCCCCCCCCCTCCCAAAGGTCACCTGATCAACCAGGCTGTGACTCACCTCAACAACCCTTCCTCCTAGCATGATAGTACTGATGATAACTACACACATAGCTATATATATATATATATATATATATATATATATATATATATATATATATATATATATATATATATATATATATATATATATATATATATATATATGTAACTGAAAATGTTATACTCAAATTCTGTCAGTTGAAATGTAACCAATCACAGGCAAGTAGGCCTCTGACGTCATGCCAGACAGAGGAGCATCAAGCATGCTCCCAGCAGCCTCAGTTATCCTCACAGACCCAGAGTAGGTGGACCTCGGCTGGCCAGTTATACACCTGTTTGCCTCACTCAATAAATATATACAGAAGCGACTACTGTGTCTACATTCAACCCGAACAAGGCAAACGAATACTGGTAGCAGCAGTGGGATCCAGAAATTTTTTTCTGGAAGCAAAAGTTCCAGTACCCAGCATCGCCTCGTGTTCCAGCCAAAACCGCCGCCACCGCCACCGCCATAAGCCGCCATCCTGCCACCCACGCATCAAATATTGTGCCAGACCGGGGTCCTGCCATCAACCACTACTCCAGGCTAACGTTTTAGAAGTAAGGGTCAATATTTTCCTGTGAGAACGCTCACTCATCAGTGAGGAGGAAGGAAGCTTCCCGCGCCAGCCATTTTTGAACCTCGCGCCACCACGAGGGAACCACCTATTACACCCACCACCACCACCACCGCCACCCAAGCTGACAGTATCAAGCTTCGTGAGGGTGCAAGCTACTGCAATCGTCGTCAGCCATCGTCGCAAGTATCAACTGGTTATTCCATCGTCGCAATATTGTCGTCGTCAGAATTTATCTTCGTGCTTCTAGCGTGAACAGTGTGGGGTCCCTGAGTCTCGCGCCACCGCCGCCAGGAGCGCTGCCGTCGCATCCAGTTTGTAAACACGCCTCACATGGGCCTCTTCCGATCTTCACGACGCTTCTCCTACTTTGGCTACTGGTGATCCTCATAAATTACAACCCTGAGATAAGTAATTGCTAGTTGAGAACAGCGTGCCAAGTGTTAAAAAGTGACTTATGTAATAATTCCCATAATATCCTGTGAATTAACCATTCAGTGACTTGTTAAATATTGGAGCCGGTTTAGTACTCCAGAGGCCCACAGTTTCTCTGAGACATTTCAATATTCCCTGCATATGATTCCATTATTCATTAATTGTTACTAGTGT